TCGGGCCCAAGGGCCCCCGGCCGCCAGGCGACGCCGGCCAGCCACCCGCGCCAGCAGGCTCCAGGCGGGCCCTGCGGGGAGAAGGGAGATGTGCTGGCGTGCGACCCGACTCAATATCGCGATAGAGACTGACCGCGCAGGATCGCACTCTCCCACGAGGCCAAACCGCCCCCTTTTGAGTCCTGAGAATGGCAGTTACAGAGCAAGGCTGCAAACTCCCCTAATGAGCCCGGGGACCTTTGATGTCGCGATCCCTATGACCATAATGATAATAACAGTTCTCCCATAGAAGCCCCTGTATTTTGCCTCAGAATCTTTGTATATTAAGTTGTGATGAGACCTCTGTCACCCTGGGACATCTAATATTCTCTATATGGTCAAGGGGCAATGACAGGTCTTTGAAGTGAGGGCAATACACCCCCAAATTGGGCCTCAGGATCTTCCTGTATCAAAATGGTGACAGAATCCCCACTGTGGGCCTTACATAGCACCAAAGTCCACCTAGAATTGATAAAATCACCCCCATATCCCTCCCTGAAACCTCTCCATGAAACTGCAACATCCCATAGGCTCTTTGGGACCTCTGTGCAGATACAGTGACAGAGCTTTGAGTACAAGAACCAGAAAGTAATTCATATTGTACCCTGGGTTCTCAAAATCAGGTGGTGACAGAGCAGGACTATAAGATGCTACATCCAGCTCTGCTGGCATCGATTCCAAAATAGTAAATGAGCTTTCCCCTCTTTGCCTGGTATCAGGACCATGGATTCCTACATCCAATATCAGGACATTTCTACATTGACATGCCAAGAGCCCTGGAGCTGTCAACACCCAGCACCACACTCCAGGAGCTGTGATGACATCATGGGTCCAGCAATCCTGTGAACGCTGCACCCTACAGTAGACAGCCCCGTGTCATTCTCCTGGACCTCACATCAGGCCCCAACCCCTTGGAGCCCCTACATTCTACTCTGCAGTCCCAGGACTGAAGACACTCACCTCCAATCTGTTCTCCTAACTCCTCTCTCCAGGTTTCAATGATGAGAGAGAAGATGCCCTGGTTGGGTGGAGGAGGGGGGAGAGGAAAGAATGAACATAATGATCCGGGCAGGTACTCGATGAAGGCCAGGGGTAAAGAGTGATGATCATTCCAGGGATCAGACAGGCAAGGGACAATTCCCAGAGAGACCGGCTGAGGGAAGGAATGACAGTTTTGGCTTGCTTTATTGAGCACTTACTATGTGGTAAGCACTATACTCAAGATACCTGGTTGAATCCCTCAAAAGGGATCGCTGTGATGTACCATGATGATCCCATTTTACAGATGAGGAAACTGAGACTGGGAAAAGGATAGTCACTTGCCCAAAAGGACAAAGGTCTAGAATTCAAAAATAGGTCTGTTTACCTCTGTGCTTTAGCGGTTGTGGGATGGGAAATAGGGTTTTGGAGGTGCAAGTCATGGACACGGGACCCAACTGGAAGGTCTGAAAAGAGGTAAGATGAGTGGATATTGGGGATCCCCAAGTCAGGGTGTGAGGGTCCCTAAGGGCAAGGAGATTTGGGGATAACTATGAGGATATCAGTGTTTAGAGAGCCCCAAGGAACAGAGGTAGTGTTCTATGAATTCAGGGTTTCTAGAAGGTGGGTTTGGGGTTCTGGAAATTCCAAATGGGGTTCCAAGTGTGCAAGGCTGGGGTCAGAACATTTGAGATCCCTAGAGGGCAAGATGGAATCAGAAAAACTGGGGTCTCCAGGCGGTAGGTTTTATGGGCCTGACTGGTCTGGGAATTTGGAGTCCCCAGGGGGAGGGTTGGGGTCTTGGAAGCTGGAGGACAGATGGCAGTCGAGGTTTGGGTAAGGCCCTCAGCGCGGGAGTGCCCCAGGGCCGGGTCTCACCGGCCAGCTGTCCCGGAAGGGCACGCGCAGGAGGCCGTCGGGCAGCGGCAGGTCAGGCGCTGGCTCTCCGGGCTGCGCAGTATAGAGCGGTCCGCGCGCGCTCAGCGCCGCGCCCAGGGTGCATGGAGACTCGGCGGCCTCCTCGGAGACCCCTGGCTTCAGGCAGACCCTGAAGAAGAGGCGGCAGGGGCCCCTGGCCTTGCAAGGGGACTGCGGAGCCCCCGGGCCTGGTCCCGGCCCAAAAGAGTGGATCTGCAGCTCGAAGACGCCTGCCGGCCGTGCCTGTGACCAAAAGCGGAACAGGGTGAGGGGACCGAGGGGACCCAGGTGTCCCCTTCACCCCGTACCCCCTCCCCAAGACCCCTGGGTTGCACCCCCTCCCTTTCCACTCGGGCTCTGACCTGGGGAAGGAAAAAGAGTGCCAGGATCACCGTCGGGGACAGGAGCTGGGGCATCTGCGGGGCAAGCATGGCCTTTCGGAGGTCTTGGGAGCCGCAGCTGCTGACTCAGAGCCTTATATCTAAGAGGACAGCTCCGCCCCTTCGGGCAGCGGCCCGGTTCCAGGAGACCCTAGGGGAGGAGGTCGCAGGGGAAGGGGAGCCTGCTGGAGCAATGGGAGATCGTGTCGTGGCCACGGGCAACGTAGTGAGTGTATGATCTTGTCTGTGGGCCTGGGCGTGACTTTGTGTGTGACTGAGGACAGGGTGGAGTTTGGGGTTGGGGGTTAAGCTTGTATGTGAGGTTGGATATGGTTTTAAAATTCTGTGAGTGTGTGTGTGTGGCGTGAGAAAGAGCTACTGGAGAGTGTACATGACTGATTTTGTGTCTAGGTGAGATTGTGTGGCATCACGTGTGCCTGAAATTGTGTATGGTTAAGCCTCTTTGTGAGGTTGTAAATAATTCTATGATTCTGTGTGTGTGTGTGTCTGTGTGTAAGCATGCACCTCCATGGGAGAACGGAGGAGTACATGATTTCATGGTTGTGTGACTTTTTGAGATTGTGTGGCTGTGTGGATGCATTGCTGTGCAAGTATATGAATGTATGTGAGCTCCTGGGCCACTGTGTGTAGTCATATGAACTTGTGACTTTGTGCTCTGTGCAGGTGCCTCTAGGTGGCTGTCTGTGTGGTAAGGTCTGTGCAAGGTTGTGACTGAGGGTATGTTTGTGAAGGAAACTGGGTGTGGGAGGTCCATGAATGTAGCCCCATGTAGATATGACGAAGATTCAGTGTTCTTTGTGGACGTGTGTGTGTGTGTGTGTGTGTGTGCGCGCGTGAGTGCCTGCTCAAGTGTGTTCCCCTCCCCAAAACAAAGCCACCCTCCCAAACCCCACATCAAGGATGCACCAGACGCCAGGACAAGAAGCCCCGCCTTAGAGGGGGCTCCCAGCTGTATGTAAATGCCGCCATCTGCCGGGCGGCCGCGCCCCTCCCCCTGTGGGCCGCAGCTGGGCTGCCCGTTTGGCCTCCGGAAGGTGTGAGCAGCAAATGGGCAGGAAATTCTGTCCTCACACATCAGGGGCCCACTCCCTCACTCCAGGATGAATGGGGGAGGGGGAACCCCCCCAACACACGCACCCTCCAGAAGCCCCTTAGTATTCCAGGACCACAGCAAGGAAAGCCAGTTAGGAGCAGATGTTCCAGCTCTCTGGTCACAATCATTTACTCTGTGCCAGGTGCTGAGCAAAGCCTTTTAGACAGAGTAAACTTTTTTCCCTCCAGAATTAAAAAAATAATAATACTTAAGGCTAATAACTATGGAGGAAAACACAGGTTCAATTATGTAAGTACATATTTTTCTTTTGGAGGTCATCAATAAAGCACAGCCCAGCAGAGCTAGGTATACAGTAAGCGCTCAATAATTTTTTTAATGAATGAAATAACTCAATCTAAACAGTTTTCTTCTCTTAATCTTGAAGACGGGAGTCATGGGAGGGTTTTGAGCAGGGGAGGGCAGCCGTTAATTGTGCAGAACATCCCAGGTGCCTTTGCACTGTTTTCCCCTCTCCTGGATATATACTTATTCTCTTTTCACCATTCAGATTTGACCTTCTGTAGAAGGCCTTTCCTAACACTCCCCAAGGATGTCAGGTACCTTCTCTGAGTCCCCACTGCCCCTATGACTCCTCTATCCCAGCCCAGACCACCCAGGCCTATGAGGCCTTTCTAAGCACAAATCTGACCCTGCCCCTCTCCCACATAGACTCTTCCATGGCTTCCCAGTGCCTTCAGAAGGTCTCCAAGATTCTAAGGTTGACACTTAAGGCCCTTCCTCCACATCTCCCTACTCAAACAGGTTCTGTGGCCCCAAAGCATAGAGCCAGACCTCATGGACCACAGTTACCAGGAGGCAAATTAGGCCCTGTACCGGGGTAGGTGGCAGAGTGAGCCTCTCATCACAGGAGATATTCAAATGGAATTTGGACAGCCATAAGAAGCTGTGGGAGAAGACAAATTCCTGCCCTGGATAATAACTGGGGAGGTAACAGATTCCAGATTTTAAATATTCAAAAACTTTAAAGATTGTAAAAATGGCCAGTCTTATTGAGGTTTGTGCCAGGCATGACAGTGTTCTCTCATGTCTGTATGTGAAATGTACTTTAATGGATTTCCAAGCATCTTTGGCTATTTAGGGCTTTTCCCCCTCTTATGTGCCAAACTTAGAGCCCACAGAAAGCCATGGTGAGGTAACATTTGAGCAAAGACCTAAAGGAGTGGAGGGAGGGAGCCATATGGATCCTGGGGGCTGGGGGCAATTCCTGGCAGAGGGGATAGCAAGTGCAAAGGCCCTGAGGTGACCATGCCTGGCACACGAGATATTCCCATAGCTTGCCTAATTTCATTCTGGTCTCTGCTCAAATACACCTTCCCAAGAGGCCTTCTTGGACTGTTTCATTCAATCTAAAACAGTACCCCAAGACCCCAAATCATTCCATCTCCTCACCATACTTTACACATTTATTTTACCCCGAGAAATAGGATCATTTTCTGTCTCCTCCATGAGAACATCAGCCCCACAAGGGCAGAGCTTTTTATTGAATTTTCTCACTGAGGCACCCTCATGCCTAAAATGAGGCCTGGCAGTCAGTGCTTAGGAAATGTGTTGAGTAGGCAAATGAATGAGATACTATTATTAATCTCCCATGAGTGAGCAAACTGACATGCTTGAGACCTTGCCCAGTGTCACAGGGCAATATGAGAATTCAGCCTCTGCTGGGATATGCCTTAACGCTTGCCCAGCCCTGCCCACTGGATGATGCCCTGATGCAGCCCTAGCACCCAGCATTTGATACTAATATCCTAGGCCATGTTGCCTAAGCAGAGTGTCTCAGAGGCCACCTGTGCACATCAAACCCTCTCTTCCCCTCTTGCCCTCCAGCTTTGAGCAGCTGTGACCTGACAGCACCATCCCTGAACCAGCATCAAGGTTGGGGAGAGGCCTGGGGGAACTCACTGGGCACTGAAGCATGTGCCAGCCAGAGTGCTAGCCTTAACCCCCAGGGTCCAGGGAAAATGGACAAACGTACGTCCTCCTTCCATGCTCCATGTGTGGACAGTCCTCAAACTAGGGAGTCCAGAGAATATGGGGAAACTCTCTCTTGGATTAGAGATGGTATACTTCTGTACCAAATTTTAATTCTTCTTTGTAGACACCTGTGAGTCTTTAAAAATATCTAGTTTAGAGGTTCAGTCTGGCCCACAGTTTCAAATACATTTTAATTATTTTATTATAACAAATACCAGGGAAAGGTCGTTTAAAACCTATACCTGGTACTAGCACTAAACGCTGTCTGGAGCAGGAGAGGCTGGGACAGTGGGAGGAGATGCAGCCAAAATGGTACAGGGTATTTCAGTCTGTGAAGAACCAGTATGGCCTGGTAACCAGCCCCACTGAATATGCAAACAGCCTGAATGTGAATTGTTCCATTTACTTGTCACAACCACACTCCTAAGACAGAGATGCCCACTTTAGAGATGATGAAACTGAGGCAGAAAGGTGCCTTGCCCGAGATTCACAGCACTACCACGTGAGTGCCTACACAGGGTGCCTCACTCAGCCCTCAAGCCTAGCCTACGAGGTAGGAACTATTATTTTATAGATGTGGAAACTGAGGCACTGAAGGCTGAAAGAACTTGCCTACTTGCTTTTGATCACACAGGCCAGGAAGTGGTAGCGCTTGGATCTGAACTTCAATAGTCTGAACTCACACTCTTAATACCCAACTGGTGCTGTCCGATGCAAGAGCCAGGAGTCACATGCAGTTATTTAGATATTTGTTAAAGTTAAAACAAAATTAAAAAGTCCATCCCTCAGTTACCCTCACCACATTTCGAGTACTCCATGGCCCCAGGTGGCCACTGGCTGCTGTATTAGCCCAGATATAGAACATGGAGTAAACATCGTGGAAAGCTCCACTGCAGAGCGCTGCTACGGTCTGGCTGCTTGACTTAGAGCCAACATTTTAAAACTGGCAGATTTAATACAAAAACCTCCATTTCTGTCTTCTGCTGAAAACTGTGCCCACCTTCCCAGGGAGCCACAGCTGGCAGAGCTGAGATGGGGTGATCCCTGCTCCACTGGAGCCCACACCTCACATATTTGCTCAGCAGCCTGGCAGCTACAGTCTTTAAACCCCACAGTGCCGTCCTCTCTCCTCTTTTCTACAGATGGGGAACCTGGGGCCAAAGAGGGAGATGTGTTTTTGCAGATCACATGGCACATGGGAAGACATGGCACATGGGAACACACGGCCGGGGCAGATCCCTACCCAGGTTTTCAGATTCCCAGGACAGGGTTAAAAACCAACCCTGATCCACCAGAGCACCCACTCTGTGCTCAGCAGCTGATCAGCCAGCGTGGGACGAGGAGCCCAGAGTCGCACACTTAACCCCGATGCCCCCGTCTGGAGACTCTCCGGACACAGGAGTGTGGCGTCTGGGATGGACTTTATTGACGTGTGGTTGCTCAAGCTGTGGTCTGGAGCACTGGGCCATGGGCCCAGAACTCAGGTATTGAGTTTGAGGAGGCCCAGAGGTTATGGCTGTTTGGGGCGAGGCCACAAGCGGCTGGTGAGAGAGCCAAAGAACAGGTTCTGCTTGCTGGATTTGGAGAGCTCGGCCAGGCGCTGCTGTTCCTCCTGGAGTTGGGGGGCAGACAGAGAGGATGAGTTGGCCCAGGGTGGGCAGAGCTTCCTCCCAGATTCCCAGGTCCCCAGCCTTCAGCCCAGGGGCCACCTTCTTTAAACCTTTGCCCAGTCCAGACCCCTTTTCCCAAAACCCCAGAACCCCAGTGCTAACATAGGATGAGCCCAGACCCCGAGGACCCAGTTAAGACACTAGCAAAAGCCAGCTCGGAGCAAAAGAAGTGCAGACTCAAATTCCACATCACACTTTCACAATCACCCCGAGCCCTGAGAACCTATCCTTGGCCGCACACCGGACTACATCAGCTCTCCCATGAACCCCAATCCCCTCACTGTGCCCAGTCCTGAGCCCTATGACCCCTGTCTGGAAGCCGAGGGATCCCAGGCCTAAATCTCCAGGGAATCCTCCTCTGGACACTTAGGAGCTCCAGCCCTATTCCTAGGGTCCCAACCTCAAACCTGGTTAACCTCAGCCTAGACTCCTGGGAATCTCTCTCCCAGACTCAATCCATATTCTGAGCACCACTTCCAGATTACCAGGATCACACCATGGTCATCAGAAATCCTTGCTCAGATCCTTGAGTCAAGTGTCCAGGGATCCCTCTTCCTAGACCTGATCCAAACTCCTAGTCCACAAAATACCAGGGCTGCCAGATGTGCTCAGGAACATCAGGGTCTCCAGACCTATCTTATGTGCTTGGCATTTCCTGCCTCCTGTCCTCAGAGCAAGCTGCAGAGTCAACGCACCCCTCACTACAAGGGCCCTCTGCGACAGGAGGTGTGGAAGAGAAGGCAGTCCCACAGCTGGAGTGGAGACAGGCTGTTCCAGGGCCCCTCCTTCAGGAGCCTGGAGAACTTGATGCCACGTCCCCCACCCACACTGGGGGTCTGAGCACTCACCTGCTCCAGCCGGCTCTGCCGCTGTTTGAAAGCCTCCAGCGGGTCTTCCTCCAGGGCGTAGTGCTCCAGCACGGTTCGGACATCCTCCACACCATTCAGGGCAATGGCTGTGGGCACAGCAGGTGGGGGTCAGCCAGACTGAAGGCCGGATGGAGGCAGGGCCCACAAAGGTTAAAGGTCAGACCCTGGGGGCAGCAGGGGGACAGTCAGAGCCACCTGGAACACTTATCAGTAGTCTAAAAGGCTCCCCCTGAATACCTGAACATTCCCAGGCACCCCCTAAACATTCCAGAAGAGCATCCCAAACATGCCAAAGACTGCAAGATGCTCATGGACCTCCTGCACCTCAAGTGCCCAGTTTCACATGAAAAAACAAGCCAGAATCAAGCATCTATCATTCCTCCTGAGGGTCAAGGGTTCCAGGGTCAGAGGCCAACAGGTCAGGGGTCAGTCTCACTCTTGAGGAAGGCAGACAGGTCCAATAAGACCCGGTCATCAGAGTTGCCATCCCAGGGCCGCAGGGCGACGCCATTGTAGGGCTGTAGGCGGAAGGCTTCCTTCTTGCAGTCCACGACTACTACACGGGCTGGGTCCCGATTTAGACACGAAATGTCCTGGAAGTGGGTGATAGGTCAGGTCAAGGGCTGTGCCCCTTCCTTTCCCACCAGGAACCCACAGAGAGAGAGAGGCACATAGACAGAGCATACACATACTTAGCATCACACATTAGGATCACCATGATGGGGCCTCCCACAGACCAGGCTGGGATGATGACATAAAAGCCAGCAGGGAGCTGGGGAGCTAGCTAGTCATACATATTCCTGGACCCAGGGCATGGTACAGACAGGTTGATTCAGAGGTTCCCTGGGGAGAGAGCTGGACACTTGTGTATTTAACCACTGCCTCATTGACTGTGACAAGCTGCAGGTTTGTGAACCTCTCACCCAGAAAAAGAGGTGCAGACTGATCCACAGCAACACACAGGGAGTCACACAAAGACAGGGACCCAGACAGACCCTTCAAGACCCTCAATCACAGACCGAGTCCTTCTGAATCTTGAAAAACCACATAGACTCCTTCAGACCCATAAAGACACAGAAACCAAATAAGACACTGAGACCCATGGATACTTGGACACAGACCCACAAAGAGACTCATTCACAGACCCACAGACCCCTGGATATACCGAGGGTCACAGCAACAGACCCCAAGCCAAACAAATCCCAGAGCAGTCTCATATGAACTATTACAATTACACAGTCCAGAGACCCTTGGCTCCAGACACACAGACAAAAATCATGTCCCTACTCTGTACCCTCAACTGACTTCTTTGGAGAGACCCTACTTCCCCCTGCTCCCATTCCCAGATTCTGGGACAGAGAGAGGGTGTAGAGATCCAGCCCAGAATCAGACATGGACAGAACCAGAAGCAGCTGGTTGCTTCTCAATCAGATGAATGCTGAGGCTGGGGTCAGAGCTGGGTCCTCTTTCCCTCAGGAAGTGCCAGCCCTCCCCCAAATCCCAGAGCCCCACTCAGGACCCCCGTGGCACCTTAACATGGTGTCCATCCATGTATCTCGTGGCATCCCGGAATAGGCGGTAGGAGATGAAGCCGTGGGGGTCCACGCTGTCGATGAGCGGAAATGCAGTCTGGGGTGGGGTGGCCGGGAGAACCAGGTCAGGCTGGGTCCTAGCCAGGCAGCAATCAATCCCTCACCTCCAGCCATGTCAACCCTCGCCCCCTGCCCCGGGGCCTCACCATGCCAGTCTCCGACGTAAAGATGACGATTTCGTATAAAGGGGCGAGCTGCTGGAATAAGGTCTCGATGCCCGGACGCTTCTTAAACCTCCAGCCAGTGGCCAGCTGGGATGGCAGTGAGAACAGTGAAATACTCAGAACCAGAGGCCCCCAGATCCCCAAGAGGATGAAGACCTGGCCTGGAGGACCCTGAGAATCGGAGTGCTCCCCCTGTCTCTGTGGCTCTTGGAGGGGCTCGGGAGTACATGGCTGTGACTGAGGGTCTGGGTCCCACAAAAACAGCTGCTATAGCACTTCTTGGGTGCCAAGGTACCCTGACAACAGCCTACAGGGTGGGAACTATCACAGTTGAGGAAAGCGAGGCAATGAGAGGTGATACCTCCGCCCCAAGATCACAGAGTGGAACTGGGGCTGAACCCCAGCCTGACTCCAGGGGCAATGCTCTTAACCACACGGTCACAATTCAGCCAGCCACCCAGGCCTGTCGTGCATCCCCAACCTGCTGCCTTCCCCAGGACACACCGACCACTCAGGGTGCAAGAGGACACCAGTGAGCTCCAACACCAGTGTGTACGGCGGTTGGTAGTACGGCTCCCGCAGAGGATCTGGGAGAAGGCAGGGGCTGGTGGGCTCGATGATCATCTGCAAAAGAGGGACAAACAGGGGCAGTCAGACAAGCAGGCAGGAGGCTGGGGGTGGAGGGACAGGGACTGGGCCCAGGGCTCCTGCTCACCTGTCTATAATCTTTGAAATATTTGTATGTCCGGCGCAACTGCTGTACCAGAATTGGATCTAGGAGAACACCAGGGCACAAAGGGTTCCAAGATGAGCCACTGCTCAACCTCCTGGACGAGCCAGGGCTTTATTTATCTACCAGATACAAACAAGTCTACAAATCCTCCTGGTTTGAACCAACTAATTTCTAAGTATAAAGTAGAAGGCAATGATGTAACTAACTGCCAGGCAGAGACAAGTGTTTTTATTCATCTGCCCAACCTTAACCTGAATACTAATAGCCACACACCACCACTCCTATAAAACAGAATGTTTATACATCTGCTCCCCTAAAACCTACACATATATAAATGTGCTGATGTTATGCCAGTATATTTAGTCCATTTGGAACCACTAGTTTCCAGATCTGCTGGCTTTAAGCAAGTACTCTGAGTCTAGTTAAGCCACGAGACACATGTACATATGTCTGTAACTAGTGGTTCTCAATCAGGAGCAGTTCTGTTCCCCACTCCTTCTCCGGAAATTCTGCAACATCTGGAGGCATTTTTGATTTTCAAGATACTGGTGCCTAGTAGATAGAGGCCTGGAGTGCTGCTAAACATCCTACATTGCACAGGACACTCCCCACAACGAAGAATTATCTGATTCAAAGTATCAAAAGGACCAAAGCTGACAAATACTGGTTTAAATGAATACACTAAATCCAGTTTAAAACAGAAATCTTACATGACTGCCTATTTCAATACAGTAACTTTAGTTCACTTAAACTACTACTTATAGGCTTGCCTTTTTGAAACCAAAACATCGAAACATCACTTAAACTGTAGTAAGCCCACACATTTTAAACCTACAAGTTTACCTGCTCAACTTATATCAGTATATTGACTTGTTCAGAACAGTATGATTCTACATCTGCCAAAGTAAAACAGCATACTTACCTACCCGTCTAGTTTAAAACAATGTATTAACATGCTGGTTTGCAAACTTCCCCAGCACAAACAAGTGGCTTCCTGGACCTACCAACTTTATATTTCTCTTGGGAAGGGCCAGGTGTGATAGAATTGACAACTACTCTCTACTAGCCAATTTGTCAGAAACTTCCCTGAAGCTGGTAATCAGAAGTGGGAGGGAGGAAGGAGGCATTGTTTTGGAAATGAGGAGCTGGATGGGGTAGGGGCCCATGGTGGGGAAGAGGCTGTCATAAAGAAGGGGGTGAGGAGCTGCAGATGCTCAGATCTAAGGCCCAGGAAGCCATGTGTCTGGCGATAGACAGCCCAGTTCTCCCCAAGCACTCCCACCCATCCGGGTACCCCTCCCCCATCTGTCCCTGACCATCTGCTCCCAGGCTGAGGGGCCAGGGAAGGGGACTAGAGTTCTGTATGCCCCTCCCCTCAAGCCATCCAGCTGCTGACTCCCCCCACCTCCCAATGGAAGGAGGAGCTGGGGCACTGGATGGGGAGGGCAGCATAGGGAGGGTCAGGGGAACCCAGAATTTGCGCTTGTTTACTCACCATTGTCGAATTCATCAGGAATCTGGGAGGTAGAGAGAAAAAAGGAGGGTTTGGGATGGCAGAGGCAGAACCCCATCACACCCAGAAAAGATATCTTCAGGGTCCTGGGAGAAGTAAGCAAATGTCCCAAGGAGGGAGAGGCTCACCCTCGATCAGAAATGAGCCTCAACAGACCAAATGGGAGGAGACCTACAGGATGGGACCCCTAGTAAGGCCTCGGGGTCTCTTTTCCGCTCACCTTGGCACCATTTTCATCCACAGAGTTGTTTCCTGCAAGGGAGATAGTGATAAATCAGAGGACTGAGGCCAGACTCCTGGGTTTTAAGAGAGGAAGACGGCAGGAGCCCTAGACTCCTGGATCTGAGAGACGAGGGCTAGAGGCATGGTCTCCTGAGACAGAGAAAGAAGGGGTCTGGTAGCCAGGATTCCTGGGTCTCTGAGAGAATAGGGGTGGGCAGGGTCTTCTAGGTCTGAGGAATGAAGGGGCTAGGGGGAGGCTGGAGTTTAGGGTGCTGAAGAGGGTGGTCCAGGCCTATTCCTTCTCCTCTTTCAATTGACTCCCCATAGCTTAGTGTGGGAACCAACTAGAAAGAGCAGACCCTTGAGTAGAGGGGTAGAAGGGAGACTTCCCTCATTTCCAAGGTAGATGTTCTAGTTGGATGCCCTATCAAGGGAGGAGCCAGGGAATGAAGATGGGTGAAGCCCTTAGGGAAAAGAGGGGGAGGTTCCACAGAAGAACTGAGGACCAACAGAACAAAACTGGTGGACGGGAATATGTCCCTCACCGAAGATATAGACGATGCTCACAGTCCCACCGGCCCCGAGTAGCCCAGCAAGCCAGAGTGCAACTTTTTTGGCATAGCTGGGACCCTCCGAGCTCTTCTGCTGCTGTGGCCCCTGGGCCTGGGCCTTAGTTCCTGCTCGGCTCCCGATCTCTGCAGCCTGCGATTGAAATGGGGTAGGTTGGCCAAGAGAAGAGAGAAAGAAGGTCACGGTGGTTCGGGCACCCTGGTCTGAGAAGAATCAAGGTTGGGAGCCAGGAAGCAGACACCCACATGGCCTCTGTGTGTTATGCCCCTGGAGGGGCAGCCAGGGGACTTGGTCTCTCAGAAAGGTCAATAACTAGGCTGCATGACACCAGGATCCCAGGGATTCAAAAGCTGACAGCCCAGGTGCCCAGGATCCTAGAGGCAAAAGATTGGAGGGCCTGGAGCCCGGAAAAGTGGGGCAGGGAGGTAAGATCAGGGAGCCTGGCTGGTCACTGGGATTCCTGGAACAAGGCAATGAAGGACATACAAGGGGACAGGTCAGGGAGTTAAGTCCTCCGGATACCTGGGGCTCACAGTAGCGGGGTATGGAGGGGAAGGGATGGGAGTAGGGGCAGAGGGGCAATCGCTTGTCTGGGGCTTGGAGAAGTAAGGCATGGGAGTGATGGACCTGGAGGTCAGAATGGCTAGGTATCTGTCAAGATGGACGCAGGTCAAATCCGAAGCCCGAACATCTAGCTCACCACCACCACCACCGCGGGGAAAATATCCTCAAGGCCAGACTGGAACTTCAGGGTCCAAGGGCCCCTCCCCTCCAAGTATTACCTGAGCAGTCACTGAGATGGGGGAAAGGTGACCCCCTCCCTGGCGACCACGTGGGGTCCAGAGTAAGTGGGGTCCAGAGGACGAACTGAAGCCCCCAAGCATCTAGGCAAGGAAGCAAGCGTTGCCTACCCCGGGAAGCGGGGAAGAGACCCAAGGCACGGGCGGCATTCCATTCAGCACCCTGAGGTGCTGCGTCCCAGAACCTCTGGGCGGCGGCAGTCCGCCTGGAACTCTAGAAAGAAGTCCTCGCACCAGGGGGCCACCCCTGTCCCGCTCACCTGGTCCGGGGCCCGGGGCGGCGGCGTCGCTAGCCTCGTGCACAATCCCCGCGCACCTTGTCGGAGCCCGCCCCGCAATCGCAGGAACAGCGCCGCCGAGGCCGCCATCTTGCGCTGACGCCATGTGGCCCCGCCCACTCGCTCCCTCCTCCCCGCCCCGGGCCGGGGCCGCGGCCAATGGGGGTGCAGGGGAGGGGCGGGTAGACGGGAGCCCGAGAGAGACAAACGGCCTCGGGGGTATTGCCTCGGGCGCGGTGCCGCTAGTTCACTCGCCTCTAGTGGCCCTCCTGCTGAGGCGGGCTCACTAACCAAGACCGAGTCAGCCGGCATCATGTGCCCCTAGGGCCAGAGGGCGTTTCACTGCCGCTGCAACAGGACGCGACGGAACACCCACTGCTCAGAGGTCATGCTGAGGTCCTTAACGAAGAAACCCAATGGCTTCTTGATTTGTTTTAAAAGCTCGAAGCCACAAGTCCGGAGCGAGCTGAAAGCCGCCCTCACAAACCCTCTTTTTCATGTGCAGCCAGGAGGCCTAATCCGTCTTCCTTCCCGTTCTCCACGCCCTTTTTTGCCCCTCTTCCCATTAACTTCTTATAAAGGGTCTGGAAAGCAGGCCAGTTTCGTGGAGGCTCAACCGAAGAAACAGCCGCCGTCTGGTGGGCTTGGGGTATTGAGAGAAAAATCCATGAATTAGAGGCTACAGGAGCCTTGATGAATCCCCTCAAATTATTTTGAAAGGAAGAAGAGTCTGATACTGTTTATGTAAATTTTAAAAACATATGGAATCACCAGACAACGCTTAGGGATGAATACCAAGGTAATAAAAGTTCAAAGTTCGACAAAAAGACACAGGATGCAGAGTTAGGTTACCTCGGGAGGGGAACGGACTGTGTGCTGCCTAAGTGGGTCTTTCCTATCTGGATGCAGAGTTGGGTTACCTCGGGAGGGGAACGGACTGTGTGCTGCCTAAGTGGGTCTTTCCTATCTGGTACACACGTGGTTCCTACGCTGGGTGGTGGGGACTTCAGTGTTCCTGGCATCATAACTTTTTGAACAATTTGAACTGTTTTCTAATAAATTTTAAATTACATTTGTGAAAAGACATGTGAATATCAAATGAGGAAAGTGAAGGAGAGTCAGGTAACTAGCTCCCTTCTCTACATTGCTCCCGACCCCGACGCCCAGGCTGGTAAGACAAGCTACAAGCAATTCTGGTGTCACTGCTATGCCAGCTCAGGAGAAACCATCAAATGCTGAATCGTGCACCATAAGAGGAATTTAGGTTTCCTGATGGATACTGACCAACTTTCACTTAACCCAAGCATGAGTAAGATGTAACTTTATCAGTTACATGCAAGCTCTAATAATAATTTCTTTCCAATGACTTCTCATACATTCAAGAGCTCTCTGGGGTGGCTCTAGATGGGGAAACTGAGGCTTAGGTAGGACCGAGTTATTCCTAAGACCACACAGCAAGGAAGTAAGTGGGTTCTGCAAATGACCCCACTTACAAACCAGAACACACATATACACAGGACTTTTGACCAAACAGCTTTTTATTGAAAGACTGTAACACAAAAGCAAGCTGGGGAAGGAGGGGTATAACAAGGTGGGGACCCTCCCCCAGACTCTACTCTGATTCCCATGAACATCAGGGAGGGAGAGAGGAAACCAGAAAGCAAAATAAAGAAATCCTGACCAACCAGGCTAACCCAGCTCCAGGCCCCAGATCCTGTATCAGAGCCAAAGGTCAGAGGAGGAAAGAGGGACACTCTTGATCTGCCAGGTATCTGCCAAAGTCCACCCACCCTGCCTGCCTCAGGCCTCCAGGAGCTTCCCCAGGAAGCGGAGGTTGAGGATCTTTAGCTGTTCATCAAGGTCCATGCGGACAATGCCATCCTCGCCATCGATGCTCAGCAGGACACCTGTGGCTTCCCGATCTTCACCCAGGATCACCTTCACCTGGGGGTAGGGGACACACGGGGTCAGGGTCCACGGCAGCAGCCCAATGCCCCCACATCCCTTTGCCCTCCCTTACCTTATTGTTCTTGGTGGGGGTGATGGGCTCCAGGTGCTCACTGGAGATGCTGACTACCTTCTCACTGTCCTTCAGGTACACAGAGCACATGCCTCCCTAAAGGTGGGGACAGCCTGGTCAGCCCCACCTGCTCCCAACACAGGACTGATACCCACCTTCAGGGGACACAGGTTCAGGGCTCATTCTAGGAAGCCACTTTCTAAAGGTGACACAGGCACAGGAAAGGTCATGGCTGGACCTGGTTCCAAGGCCTACGGATCTGTGACATATGGACGGGTGATCAGATCAGCAAGGAAGCACCAGCATGAAGCTTACTTAGGCCAAAAGGGGACTGCTTCTCAGACTCTTGACTCTTCCTGATCCAAACTGGCTTCCCCACACTTGCTGCCCATCCTGGGTCCCTGCCTCAGGGATGGCCCCACAATCCCCAGTCCCCAGCCAGTGCTCTGGACCTTGTCTTTGTAGACAACTTCACCAACAACTTCTAGCTCTGAGGCCTCTCCACTCACTCTTGTGAGGGTGAATGCCTCTCCCACCTCCCTCCCTCTTCTCCTCCCAAAGCCCCACAGTGCAGCCAGACCTACCCCAGGGCTCCCAGTCCCCAGTCTCACCACATCTAATCCATCTGTGATAGAGCAACATAGTGAATTAATTCCAAACCACAGATCTGATCCTACCACTCCCCTTAGATTCCACCATCCACCAGTGCACTCAGGACACAATCCAAGTTCCCCAGGCTAACATGTGACCTGCTCCAGCCAATTCTTCGGCCTCATCACTCACCTTCTACCTTGACTCTTTGTGTTCCAGCCATAATGAAGAGACTTCAACTCCCCAGATGTGCCAGGCTTTCCCTCACCTCTAGGTCTTTGCACACGCTCTCTATCGGATACTCACTCAACGCATTCCCCAGCCATTTCTCTTGATTCATTCTTTAGGTCTCAGCACACGTCACCTTCTCCAGGAAGCCCTCCCTGATCCCCTCCAAAGTTGTGCAAGGTGCCTCCCCTGGGTTCACATAGCTCATCTTGCCCTCTGGGCTTCCCACATCCTAGCTCTGGCCACTCCGGCTGTCACTGTCTGTGGACATGTCTATCTCCCTCACTGGAATGTGAGATCTATGAGGACAGGGCCTAGAGCTGTCTTCACCTCTGGTGTTTGTTTAATTAACACAATATTTACTGAAGAGCCGACAAAGTTACTGGTCTCTCAGCTAGGAACTGGGGCTATTCAGGAAGAAAACATAGGCTTAGTAATTGAAGAATCACACCAGGATAATCTTTACGCTTTTAGGTAGCAGGTAGATAATATGGAAAAGACGTACATGGACCTATAAGAGACAGACCTCAGAGAGCCCAGGTGCTTCCCTGAAGGACAAGTAAGAGTTAACTAAACAAAGAATGGAGGGAAGGGAGTTCTAGACAGAGAAAAGTGATGAGCAAAGGCCCTGAGGCTGGAGAGAACTCAGTGACTGTGAAGAACCAAGGAGCCAGCAGTGCTGCAGCAGGGAGAGCCCACGGTGCCTGACGCTCAGCCGAAGCCCGGCCCAGAGGAGCACTCAGTCCATGTTACTGAACTGACCTCAGGAGAGTATGTCAAAAAGTAACCATACTCTTGGGCAGTTACTATCTCAGGCTGATGGGGCCCCAGCTGTGAGCACAAAAGGCAGAAATCCCTGCCTTGCAGCTTGCAGGCCAAACCTTTCCACATGCGTTTCCCCAGCTATAAATGGGTACTGGAAGATGTGGTTAGACAGTTTAAAAGGGAAAGAAAAAAGAGAAAAAGATCCAGTAACCACAAAGACTGGGAACCTCAAAGGAGCAGCTGCCTGCCCACCCACCAGCCTGGGCCTCACTTACCGTGACACTGCGGATGACACCGGTCTGCCCCACCACTTGGGTATCCAGGTAGGTGTCCCGCACCTTCACCTGGATGTCAGTGGTTACCCAGTCGCTGGAGTTCTGCTCAATGCCTGAGCCTGGCGTGTGCGGGTTATAGCCACCAGGGGAGGGAGCTCCGGGTGTCATCGGACTGTAGCCAACAGGGCTCGGGCTGGGGCTGGCCTGAAGGGAAAAGGGGAAGGGGTTGTCAGGAACAGGTCATTTGGCCTGACTGTCCCTACAGGCCCGAGGCCCACTCAACTCACCACCCTCAAGGGCATGCAGGCTGACCAGTACCTGATAGGCCATGGGCGAGGGTGTGGGGTGGTAGCTGGCTGGAGAGTGGGTGTTCTGGTAGCCTGCTGGGCTTGGCGCCACCTGGTGGTAGCTCTGGGGGCTGGGGCTGGGCTGGTAGGAGCCTTGCGGGGAGGGGGCCGCATAGGGGGAGAACTGGTCTGTGTTGTACCTGAGGGCCCAAGGAGAGAAAGGGGCACTGGTTTGGGCGGGGGTGGGGGAGGGAAGGAGGCGGTGACAGTGCAGAGGCTTTGGGCAGCAGTTCATAAGGGCTGGCCCCAGTGAACTCACATGGCTGGCGTCCCTGGTGTCTGCGGGTTGTACTGTGGGTTGACCTGCGGGGATGAGGGATCAGGGTAGCCAGGTGTTTGGGGGTTGGGGGTGCCCCCATAGGCCTGTGGGGATGGGGTAGGTTCATCATCGAAGGCGTACTCATATTCTTCCTCAGCCCTGTTGGGGAGAGAAGTCTGTTGATAATGATTGGTGATCACAACAATGTAACGAACGCTTCCAGAGCAGCACTGAACACTGAGCAAAACCAAGGCAACTTCAACCTCACGACAGTCCCATCAAGAGACTGCTGTTTTCAAAGGTGAGGAGACCGGGAAGCAGAGAGATGAGGTTGCCTGTCCAAGATCACACAACCTGTCACATGACCAAGGTCCCACACACAGTCTCCAAGCCCAGGTCTTAACCACAGCATGCCACTGTGGTAGGAGTTGGAGAGATTACTTTGCCCCCAGCCCCGGACTGGCCTACCCTTTCACAGGACCAGCCTGGGGATGAGAGCAGAGAATTCAGGGTGAGCCATCCAGACTCATCCAGCCCACACACAGCCCACACGGGTATATACACATGGTGGCTCCAGGAACCCTGCCCTCACCAGCCCCCAGCTCTTGGCCCTCACCGTGACGGCGTGTTAGGATTGTTGGGGTCCCAGGCCCCACTCTGGGCAGGAGTGCGGCTGCCATCATGCAGGGGCGTCTGAGAGCCATAATGTGGGGTGCGGCTGCCTGGAATGGGAGAGATGCATGGCCAT